CGGGAAGCTCCGCCGGAGGAGCTCTTGATGCCAGTCACGGAGCGCCCCTTCCTCCTCCTCCTCCTCGTCCTCCTCCTCCTGCTCCCGCTCCTCCCGCTCCCGCTCCCGCTCCGCTCCGCGCCGACGGGAGCCGCCGCCGCCGCCGCCGGCCCCGCTCCTGCCCCGCAGCCAGGTACGGGCGTGCGCGCGTGTCACTGCGTGTGCATATCGGTGCGTGTGTGTGTGTATGGGGGGCGTGTAGGAGTGCGCGTGTGTGTAAGTGGATGTGCATCTAGGGGCTTGCCAGTGCATGAGTGCGTGTATAGGTACGGGGGTGTGCACATATGTGTGTGTAGAGGGGTAGCTGTGTAAGCGGGAGTGCATATGGGTGTGCATGTGTGAGTGTCAGTGTGTGTGTGTATAGGGGGTGTGTGGAAGTGGGTGCATGCAAGCATGTGTGTGTGTAGGGGGGTGTGTGTAAGCGGGTGTGCATATGGGAGGTGTGTAAGTGGGTGTCAGTGTGTGTGTGTAGGGTGTGTGCAAGTGGGTGTGTGTATAGGTGTGTGTGGGAGGGCATTTGGTGTGTGTGCAAGTTGTGTGTGGAAGTGGGTGTGCATTTGGTGTGTGTGGAAGCGAGTGCATGCAAGCATGTTTGTGTATAGGGGGGGTGTGTGTGTGTGAGCGGGTGTGCATATGGGGGTGTAAGTGGGCATCAGTGTGTGTGTATAGGGTGTGTGTGTACAAGTGGGTGTGTGTATAAGTGTGTGGAAGTGGGAGTGCACTTGGTGTGTGTGTAAATGGGTGTGTGTATCGGCATGTGTGGAAGTGGGTGTGAATTTGGTGTGTGTGTAAGTGGGTGTGTGCAAGTGGGTGTGTATATAGGTGTGTGTGGAAGTGGGTGTACATATGCTGTGTGTGGAAGTGGGTGTGTGTATAGGCGTGTGTGGAAGTAGGTGTGCATTTGGTGTGGAAGTGAGTGTGTAAGTGGGTGTGTGCAAGTGAGTGTGTGTATAGGGTGTGCATCTGGGGGTGTAGAGGGGTGTGTGTGAGTCTAGGGATGTATGGTTGTGTAAGTGGGTGTGCATATAGGGATGTATGTGCATAGGGGTGTGTGTGAATGTGTGTGTGCATATAGGTGTGTGTGTAAGGGGGGTTGGTGTGTATGTAGAGGGGTGTGTTTGAATGTGTCGGGGGGTGTGTGTCCATCTGCACAGCAGGGAGTGAAAGTGTGTGCGCATGGCAGAGGGTGTGTGTGTGTGTAAGTGTGTGGGGGTGGGGGTAGGTGGCTGGGCGGGTCCCCCCTTGCTTGCGGCAGTGGATCGGTGTGTGGCAGGCAGGGCAGCCCGCGGCTGCGGGCAGGGCAAGGGGGGAGGCAATGAGATGGGGGAGCTGAGGCAGGGGCGTGGATCAGGTGTGTGCCCCCCTCCCCTTGCAGTTAACCCCCCCTGCCCGGTTGGGGGAGGAGGGGTAGATCCATGTGGGCAAGCGCTCAGATGGCAAAGTAAGGAGGGAAGTCTCCTGGGCTGCGCTGGGCAGGTCTCAGCCGGGCTCTGCAATGAGCTCAGAGGGGAGAAGCTCCTAAAGGGCTTGGGCACAGGAAGCAAAGGGGAGTGGGGCGCTGGGGAGTGAGGGGCACAGCCTTGGCACTACTGGCAGCCCCTGTCCCCTCTGCCTTCCAGCCTCTCTGTGCCACATGGGAGACTGGGCAGGACTCAGCCCTGGGATGCATGGCTGTCCTGACGTGTGTCACGGTGCCAGGCAGCGCTCCCAACCCAGGGATTTGTGCCCACCTTGTCACAGCTGCGATGGCTCTGGGGCACCTTTGCATTTGATACTGCGCTGGTGCTCGCCACGGTGCAGACAGGACACTGTTGCCCAGGCAGAGCTGGCAGTGCCAGGTGCAGGGAGTTCCTGAGGGACAAAGCAGAGCAGGTGAAGAGGGGATCTGCTTCTGCTGGCAGGCACTCAGCATGGAGAGGCTTTTGGCTGCTTCTCTTGAGTGCCAGGCTGCTGTGTGCCAGTCGGAAGTTGGCAAGTCTTCGTTTCTTTTGGATGTGGGGGGTGGAGGGGGGAAGAGGGTCCTCTTTCTTCTCTGATCCTTTTGGGTAGTGGTTTCATCCTTCTCCCCCTTCCCCATAGCCATATTCTTTCCTTATCTGCCTTCAGCACCTTGGGTGCCCATTCAGCATGGCATTGAAGAGAAAGGATTCCCCCCAAGTGCAAGCATCTCTGGGGATCCTGCAAACATAGACAACGAGGGTGGGAAGGGACCTCAGTCCAACCCCCTTGCTCAAAGCAGGACCATCCCCAATTAGATCATCCCAGGGTCGTAGCGTGGTGTCACCATTCAGTACCCATCCCACTGGATGTCTCAGGAGAGGGACCTCTTGCTTCTGCCAGTTTTAACCAGGGTGCTATAGTTGTCCCGGTGAAGCGGTTCTCTGCTTCCAAAAGAAAAGCCAGCTCTAAAGCCCACACGCCAAAGAAACAGAAGTCGCCTTCTCTTTTTTGACACATGACTGGCCGCTAACAGGATTCCCTCCACGGTTTTAGTTAAGCAGGTAGACGGCTCCCCTAGGATCTGTCTGAAAAGGCTTCACACCTTTCCTAGAGTATCCTCCATCGCTGCAAAGTCCACTGTTCTGGTCTCAGTGCTGCTCTCCAGAAGTAGTTTAATTAGCTGCGTTTTGTTGGAATAGCTTCTCAAGGGATTCGATGTCTTATTTTTTTGTTGTTTTATTGACTGGCAGGTGTTATTTTATCTGACACGGTCAAATTAGGCTACAGAATCTGGTATTAAAGCATAACATTTGGGTGACTGGCATACGCAGCACTGCTACATGGATACGTTGAATTCAAGCATAGAAGGGGAGATTTCTTTCCTTTTTTTTTTTTAAACCTTCATAAAAAGTCATTCTGTTTCTTTAAAAAAAAAAGTGCCTACATTTTGAAGCATTTTTGTCATAGCTTTATTGGTATTTATTCTCATTTATTTTGCATATTTTTTCCCATGAGTCTTTGCTTGGAGGTTTTACTGACTTAATAAAATATGGTTAATGTGATCTATAATTGCTGGTGTTATATCATAACCTCTTGTGCTTTTTTTTTTTTTTTAATGAATGATTTGCATTCAGAAAGGGGGATTTAAAAGGCCTGAGTCCAGTTTCTGCATTATTTACTCAGGCAAGCCTCCTTTTGTTGTCAATGGGAGTTTTGCTTGAATAAGAACTATGAGGCAAAATAATTAATGTGGGAGGTGCAGTAGAGAGGGAAAAAAATGGCACTATTTGCATGCAAATCCTGTTAAATAGCCATAGCCAAAAATGTAAGCAAACTGGGCGTATAAAAGTTTTAGCATAAACATAACCGGAGCTTTACATTAACAACAGCTTGTTTAAAATGCTGTACTGCATCATCAATTTTAGTCAAAATATGTGTAGCTGAATTCTGCATAGAGGTTGGAATAAGACAAGGAGGATACTGTAATTTCAGTTATGTGCATTTTGATTACACTTAACTCAGTGGCTCTGAATGTAAAGAGAATGTAATTATTATGGGCATTTAGTATGTGTTGCATTTGTAATTAAACTTAATGAGTGAAAACAATAAGAGTCCATCTCTTTGTTCCAGAAAGGAGGTAAGTATTCCTTTAAATGAAAGATTGTATTATTCACAGCATTTGATGCCTACCTAGAATAATTTGGATTGCAGCCATTTTGTTTGCCATTAAAAGTGTAATGTTTTAAATATTATTGGAGGTGGTGGGGGTTGAATTAACAAAAGCTGGCAGTAAATTACAACCAGTGGGGTTTTTTGGGTTGCTTTTTTTTTTGGAACAATTGTTTGCGTGATAAGGAAGCATCCCCCTTCATTTTCCCAGTGGGAGAGGACAGTGACTACTTTAAACAGTACTAATTACTCCAGTTTATCTTGCATGTGTTACAATTGTGTAGTTAGTTAATTATAGCTTTTCCCATTAGCAGTATGTTAGAATAATGAATTAACATATCACACGCATCAAAAGAACATCTACTAAGTTTATCTTCTAAGAATGAAAGTGTTATTGTGTTGCAGGAAGTCACTGTGGTTTTCCCAAGGCGCAAATTTGTTGGAATTCCTTAGCCTGGTGCTTCAGAGCCTGATGAATGACTTGAATTGATCACAAACAAGTGACACTGGAACTATTGGTTGCCTAGCAACCCAACATGATTCCACAATTTCTTCTGGTATATTTGTCCAGTAAACTAGAAAATTCTGGTTTGTTAAAGAACATTTCTTTGCCAGTGCAAAAACCACACCATAGCTAATTCAGTTTGTATGTTGCTGAAAACGATGTGCCTAATTCTGGTTTTCAATCTGGGTAGCAGAATGTGTATGAGAGAGGGGGAAAATAATTGTAACAAATGTTACTTGGAAACCACCATTCGATATTAACACGTTCTCAGTGTTTTACAATCAGTTGGAATTAAATATTTGTCCTTTCGCAGTGAGACATCTGTTGAAAGGAAAATCATCAGTGGGAAGAATAATCCCAACAAAGACTCATCTAACTGAACGCTTTTTGAAAAGTTTCTCTCATGCTGGTTTGAAATGTGAGGTCCTTCGAGGTCATGTTGAGTTACATCATGCTTCATTATGAGTAAATGGAACATAACATGGAACAAGCAGTTTGAAGATTGTCTGAATTATCTCGGGGCAGTTTGGCACATCCTGTAGTTCAGATGACTGGGGACCTTTTGCTAGGTACTTCTCGGGAGCAGAAATTGGTTTCTTAACAGACTCATTTTTGTGTATTGCTTAGTTCAAAGGAAATAACAGACTTAGCACTCAAGGAAGCACAAGAGAGGGAAATATCAGTGTTTTTTGATCAGGTATGGCTTCAGCCATTTCCTTTAACCATTCTGCTCAACATCCTACAGGTCTCACTCATATAAAAATAATTCTTATGGAGTACATTGGGGTGAGGCTCAAGGGCCAGCATGATGTTTTTCCTTTGATTGCTGGTTTTTGGCGTGGGGTTGCTTAGATTGCTGACTTCCTATTTGGAGCTTGTAGAGCACCTAATACACGATTTGGGTCTGGTCTGTTCCACGCCCTACTGTCTAACAGCGCGATATTGAGATCCTGAGCATTGGCCTGACCCCAGGGCAACAACTTTTCTAAGACTATCTTCTCTGTTATATCTAATGAGCA